GCGCGAGACCGATAGGTCCTGGGTTCGAGTCTTGCGGGAGGCGGGATCGTGGATGGGCACTGTTGAGGAATCCCACACTGGGACGAAACGGCCGTCAAGTGTTCCAGGATTCCAACGGTGGTCCAACATCAATTGACTCATGATTTCAACCAGTGAAATAATTAAATAGTTTGAACAGTAATTTTGTGATTAAATTTGTTTTCTAACGAATACAGAGCCATTGAATCCAAGATTTCTAACCTATTGAAGCTAGTACACAATGTAATTTACAGAACCTGTTTAGTCTTTTGTAATGTTAATCATTAAACTAACCTATGAAGTTGAAATCGAAATTTAAGATTTTAAACATTCCTTAACAAAGTATGTCTATAATCATATGAAAGACTTTTGTTAGTTACATAATCAATTACACTAAACTATATTGAACACAATAAGAATTTTAATGAGTTCCATTGAAAATATCTTTTTGTGATAGCCATATTCTTTAAACAGTATTCAATAGGTCTGTTAACCTTATATTGTATGAATAACTTTCAAAAAGAAGGTGCATAAAATTTATTACAGGTTAAATATGTTATGTCCTCTACTTGTTTAATTACCTGTACTCAAACGTAAAGAAACCTACAATCACAAATCAAAAAGATCTAAGAAAGCAGGAGAAAGTTGTTAGGAGGTAATTGTCAAAAATATACAGAAAAACAAGGGTATTTATAGTTTTTAGTACAGGCTATAATATCATTATAATCCAGTCGATTCTAAGGTAGGAAGTTATACAATTGTCCAATCACAGCATGCCACGTTGATATTTTGAAACATTTTTTCGGATTCTGATTGGATGGAATCCCTTTGGCTCCTTTGAACTTCTGAAGGTTTCGTTTCACTTCCTGAGAACCTTCCTAAGAAGATCGTATATTTTTTTCATTTGTACTGTTTGTTTTGAATTTTGATGTTTAGGAATACAATTAATCAGTGTCTGTTGGCTTATGTGCATCCTGTGCGGATTACTCTGATACTTTCATTAAGTCATATGAATTATAAGCAGAGATGGTTGGTGGATAGCAGTATAATCAAGAACGCGCGTTCTTCTCTGTTTGGTTCTCCTTGTCTGAATGTAATTGCATCCCGGAGTTCATGTCTATGCTTGGACTCGAACCCAGTACCATCTGCATTAAAACATCAACGCATCGTCCACCTAGCTACTTAGTTAGAAACAATAATGAATAAAATCATAAGGATAAGAGAGATATTTAGAAAGTAGGATATTTTTAAATACGAAATAAAATAATAATAGTAGTCTAAGGCCATGATAAAGATAAGGATAAGACTTATTTATTTTGTACACACAGTTCTGGCTTCATCTCATTGATAGTAAGAACTTCTATTTTAAGGAGTTGGACATTAAGAAATCATGTTAGTCACCCTTGTTAAATTATTATCCCTAATATTTTCGTGATTTCCTGTTCAATTTGATTCCTTTTTGCAATGTTTGCGTATAGAAAAGAAACTAATATCTCTAGTTTTATGACTGAAACAAAACACCCTTGGTCTGCTAAGGTAGCTTTATCTCTTAGTGAAGTTTTGAATAATACTCTAGATATTAATTTTTTGAACTGATTTATGCTACTGTGCAGCTTAAGAATGATACTACTGAAGAGAAAAGTTATACACTCATTATCTCTCCTCTTTAATGGATTTACATTTTTACCAATGATCATCAGACATTATTCGGTAAGGTATTCAAAAAAACCTCATTTAATCGTTTCTGAACAAATATATACTGTTTCAGTAACACAATAAAGTTTAATTTTTATGTTCTGTTGGAGGAATGTGTTCGAATGTTCCGTAATATGATAAAATAATTATTTTCTCTGAAAACCTGCACCAATCAATCTGAGACCATTTTTTTTAATAACCTGGAAGAAATGGTTAACCTTTTGAACTCTCCATCTGTGCAAATCTACAACCCTGTATTTCATGATTCAAAAACTCGGAGAATTTCATAATCTCCACAAAAAATTTTCTTGGAAATTGTCAATGAATCGTAGGTTGTGAATAACTGTCGCAGTGACATTTAATTTAGTTAGTTAATTATGAAATATGCTATGTAATTTTTGTATGAATATGAATCAACGGAGGATTATACATTTATGTACATTTATAAACAGAGTATACTATAAACAATCTGCAGACGCGAGTTGATTAGGTGTTCAACGTCTCTACTGCCTCACGAAGGTATGCCACAAGGGGCTGTTCTTTCATCTCTTCTTTTCTCCTTTTTTCTGTATAATCTGCCATCTTCCATAGAAAAGACTTTTGTGAAATATGCGGATGACCTCATTGTATGCATGCCGATTTATAACTCTTTACATCCCATAGAAATCAATGAGTTTTTGTCTCGTATTGAATGGTGGTCTGTTGTTAATGGTCTCATACTTAATCCGTCCAAATGTCAAGCTATTAATTTTAGCCTGAGACATGAACAGAATCTAGACACCATGTCGAGATCCTATAATACTTGTGACACTGGAGGCTCTTTAATGAACACAGTATCGAAGGTCAATTATCTTGGTGTTACCTTTTCCTCTGATCTCTCTTGGTCTTCCCACGTTTTATTGTTATCGAAGAAGGTTTTCCATCCGACTTACTACATAAAAAGATTGCATGCTTTTGAGATTACTCGTCATTTACTTTTACAATTTGTCAATCCCTGCATATTACCTTTTATTCATTACTGTTCTCCATCATTCTTTCCCGGGCATTTCAGAAAGAACTTTGCTGTATTGCGGAGAGTGCAGAAGGCAGTTAGCAAGGTGTCTGATGAATCTTTTGAGGTCATAATTAATATAATTGTGGATAGACTTCTGAAGTCTTGCAAACTCCTGACAGGTGTTATTTTATCAAATACTAACCAACTGCGTCACAAGGCAAGCCCTCATATGGAATCCTCAAGGCCAAAGGAAAAGAGGAAGACCAAAGAACACATTACGCCGGGAAATGGAGATGGACATGAGAAAAATGAACAAGAATTGGATGGAACTATAAAAGAAGGCCCAGGACAGAGTGCGTTAGAGAATGCTGGTCGACGGCCTATGCTCCATTGGGAGTAACAGGCGAAAGTAAGTAAGTAAGTAAGTAAGTAAGTAACCATGCCCTTCACTCTTATCTTTCTCCTTGTATATCGTCTAGTAGAATGAGACGTCATTACATTAAAATCCATGCACGAAAGCATAAATATAAAAGTCCTATAATTCCTTACCTAGCAAATATACTCTGTGACGAACAGGTTGTTAGAGTTAACCTAATGAACAACCTGTATTCTTAATCATTTCTCTAAATGAAATAATGTACAGACTTAGATCTTTTTTCACTATTTTCCTGTCATTCTTTGTCGTTTTTTTCTACTTTTTTTGTTTATGTAAAAGAAACTTGTTGAAACACCTCGTGCTGAGAATTCTATGTTGTACCAAAATATAATATTGAATAAAGCCATTAATAATAATAGTAATAAGTGGAAACAATGATAATTATGAGGCATTTAATCTCAAGTATAAATTTCAAATTGTATTCACCATCTCGTTCAACATAGTAATTTACTTGCTTGAAAGTACAAGGGGATGTTGAAATACGTAGATAATTTATTATTATTTGAACAGATGAATATTGGAACAAAGAAACACCATATAAATATACGCCACAAAAGTAATTTGATTTATGTGTGAGCTGTGATACTGTTCGTGTACCTAAACCAAAGCAGGTGGTTTCCATAGAGAGCTACACCCAAAGCCATCGACCTATATGTCTAATTCACAAGAGAGTGAAGCAACGTAAGGACATGTAGTCACAAGGTAGATGATAACCAACGATCGGTTCATACGCCATTTGCTTCCCCAGGACAGTGGAGCTCATTTGCACCATTGATTTGGAATCAGGGTTTTCCGATTTCCCCAGGTGGATCCTCCATATTCATATCCTCTCGATTTCGTAAACAACAGTTGTGTCACATGAAGGCAGTGAATAGGACTTCCATAGCAGCGGCTTTATACGCCTGGCTATTCGAGGACGATATCTAACATGAACTCAATTAGTATATACTTTATTCACATATTTACTAGTAAACATAATTTCATAATGATCATTATCAAAGTAAAATATATTACTAATAAAACAAGATCATCAAATTTATAAAAAAAACAAAGATTTCTAGTATAGGTGTTGTGGAAATTATTAAGTTATTGATTGAGATCATGAACCGATTGGTGTTAAACCACCGTTGAAAACCTGGAAGCACTGGACGGCCGTTTCGTCCTATTGTGGAACTATTCAGCATTGCGCATCCACGATCACACTCGGGGGCCCACTTGGTTAAGCGTTCGCGCTCAAACCCGAAGGCCCTGGGTTCGAATCCTGCAAGCGGCACTGCTTCGGAGTCTCACAATAGGACGAAACGGCCATTCAGTGCTTCCAGGTTTCGAACGATGGTCTAACACCAATCGGTTCATGATCTCAATCAAAAACAAAGATTTCATTATGTTTTTCTTAAATAATTTCCAAAAAATTTTTCATTATGTATTATGTAATAGTATTGATTCATTCATATATGATCATAAATATTGATTTCATAGGTGTTTATCAAATGTATTCTTAAAACTATGAAATATATATATATATATATATATATATATATATATATATATATATATATATATATATATATGATTTGCTAAAATAGGATTCAATCATACACATCATTTCAACCTATCATAAGTATACAAACATAATGTAAAATCACTTGTCTGATTGTGAATCAAATCACTCTTATTTTCATCATTAACCAATATATAAAGTTAACAACGAATTCACCTTTCAATAGTTTATCATTTATCATTAATATTAAAGACTTATTCAATATATATTCAATAATAAAGACTTCAATATTCCATTATTCATTCATTAATACATTTTAATTAACTGGACAATTCCATAATCCAATAAATAAAAGAATGAATAATTCTGTAATAAAAAATGCTGATATGTCACATGAAATGCAAAAACGTGCACTTGCTATTGGAATTGATTCCGTTCGTAAATATGAATTAGAAAAAGATATAGCTGATCATTTAAAAAAAGAATTTGATACAAGATATGGTCCAACATGGCATTGTATAGTGGGAAGAAATTTTGGCAGGTAATTCATTCTATAATATTCCCATATTGTAAATTTAGAACAACATAGATATAAGAGAACAATATTATTTTCGATTAGATCCTCATCAGGCTTTAATTAGTTTCAGTTTCAGTTTGAGAATGACAGGAGTCTTGATGATCTGTGTTAGTCCTGGCAATGGTGGTCTCTCAGTTGATACAACTTTCTTTTGAAAGAGTCGACAGATGGAGCCTCAATCACGTGCTGAGTTAATGAATTCCACTCGTTGATGATTCGATGGGAAAGTCAATAGTCAGTTGACAAGTAATTTGTTCTGGGCTTGTGAACTTTCTTGGAGTGTCCTCGTAAATTCTCTGTTTTGGAAGACAAGAAAAATGAGGACATATCAGGTGCGGATTTGGCACTAAGCAATCTAGTCGCCTCTAGTTCTGTGATATGACAATGGGAAAAGGTTCAGCTTGGCCAGTCGAGCTTCATACGGAAGCTTTGCTATTCCGGAAATCAGTTTAGTTGCCATTAGAGTAAATCCTGATGAGGATTTAATATATATGTGTTGTTCTAAATTCTATAGTATTTTTTTAAAAATTACTTTTATTATGACAGATATATTTTCATAAACTATATATCACAAACTGATCTTATCTAGGTCATTATTGAAAACTAGGAAGCAGTGGACAGTAGTTACGTTCTAGTATGAAATTCCTCAATAGAGTACATTTATAAACTTCTTTATAGTAAATCAAACTCAGGACCTTTGGTTTTACATGTGAACGCTTGACTTTTGGATGAGTGATGTCTAAATTTAATCAATTCGTGATTATTAACATCAGTGCACGATGATCTTCCGTCATATATTATGGACACCTAACCAGCGAATTTTAATCACTTCGGTTATGAAACAGCTAGCCCACACGGGTAATTGAAGATGGTCTCATAATAGTGTGAACTAATTGAAATTAAAAGTGTACGCTACCAGTTGCACAGAGGTTTAGTTTTCGAGTTCGAGACCGAAAGTCCTGAGTTTGATTTACTATTACGGGGTCATAGAAACGCATAACTGAGGGGTCTCACGCTTAAACAAAATAGCTGTCTAAAGCTTCTTAGTTTTCTATGGTCGCCTAACTAATATCTGTTCGCGGTTTAAAATTTAAGAAACTTCTTAAAACTCCATAAAATCCAACACTGATAATATAAATATTTGATGAAATATTAGGATGACATTTTGATATTGTGCAATCTGAGCTGTAAAGTTAAGATAAAGAGTATGACAATTAAAATAATTGAACAGGCAACGACATGATAAGGCTTAACTACAACTATTTGATAATAAATTCGACAACAGAATAAGCTGATGGTCATATTCAGAGATATTTGATTTCCTCACTTTTTATAAAGTATTTATGGATTATATTGTTTAGAACGACAATAAACCACCCAGCTTAGGGAATGCAACTTCACCTGAAATTTATCGTGTCCAAAAACGTTATTTGAATTTAGATTAGATCATAGTTTCTTTGTTTGTACAATAATACTAAATTATAAGAAATAAGCAAGTCGAATAAGATTATATCAGTTCACAATCTTAGATGTTAATGTGTATATTATTTACAAGTAATCTGAAATGATTGTTTGCTTGAAATTGCTGCTAGTACTGGTACTGCTACAACAATAACTAGTACTACTTTTGAGATTACTAGAGGAACATGAAATGAAATATTCTTACATAGAAGAGATACAAGAGTTTCACCTAATTGTACTCTAATGCGAACTCAATGCTTTTAAAATTTTAATACTCTTCTTATAACATCAAGAGCATTTGATTAGCATTTAAAGCTTAACAAGATTACAGCACGATCGCAGGAAGCTTGCTGAATGTTTACATACTCAAAAAAAAAAACATGGCAAACATGTTACTGAGACCGTGAATCTTTATTGACTGAGCTGGCTGAGATATGTGCTACGCACAAGCAATCACCACCTACGTCGACGTTTAATGCAGGTTAGAGTAGAATTATGTTGTAGAAAATCATAGTGAGGACAAACTTTGACGTGACATAAGTCTATGTAATTGCCAGTTGTTTGTCTGAGTTGTATATGTGGAATTAACATTATTTGAATGGATTCCGAAGGATAAACGTAACCAGTGTCTAGAGACGTTTGGTGAAAAAGTTAAAAACCAGTCATAGTGTACACATGGATTTATTCGTTATCTCACTTTTTGTGCTAATAGACAATAATAGAGGGGATTAATGTACTAGTTACCATCAAATAGTAAATGACTCCTCAAAATAAAAATTTCACAAACATTTGACATTGATAATGACATTGTTATGTCGCACGGATACTGTTATCTGAAAGATCTCAGTCGAAAATCGTGGTCATATTACCGCATAGGCCATATGGCCTATACATATTCAGCTTAAAAGTTCCAAGTTTGTTTAACTCTACCCATATTTTAATACACTTTCTTCAGGGTAGTGTAAGATATATGAAATCAAGGATTATCAGACTTTGTCGTATTCAGAGTGTTTTTAGGTTGATTGTTTACATAAACATTTTTAATCTCTTTGGATTCTTATAAAAGAAGCTAAGGATATGACGCTTTTAGTGGTTCAAATAAGAATAATGATTACTTGTTTTAGCTAAGAGTATGAATTTAAATTTGTTGCGTTGAGAATTATTTTAGTTGATCTTAGAAACAATGTGAATTACAATTTTCAGAAGAAATTATCATCTGAAGTAATAGATTGGGCAAAGTTAACCAAAACTATAACAACGATTGTAAATTAATAACATTGCTTCTGTAAAGTGATCGCATTACTATACTGTAGTGAACAAGAACTCGGATAGGGAAAACCAAATTATTGTACTATACATAATTACATAGTACCTCTATAAAATAAGAAAATCATACAGTAAATGCATTATTTGTACATATTCCTTCAGTTTTCCTTTACCTAATTCATCATTCTTTTAATTCTGCTGTTATATTAATTGCTTTCGCTTTCGTTTCCTCTTCTCTGTAATTCAATATTTTGCTGGCAAATATTTCACTTCTGATTGCTACTATACACTATTGAAATCTGTCAGCATTAGTAGTATACACCACAGTATTATTCAAAAGGAAGTTATATTTTCTAGCTTAGACTTCATACAATGAAACAGTTCGTTCAAAATAATGCTCTTACACATTAGATGTTTACGTACTGAAAACATAATTAGTAATCAATTTTAAAACAGAAATACAACCGGATGGAATTTCAATTATTGTTGCTACCTAGTAGAGCATTTTGTTCCTTCTCAATTATATCTTTGTTACAAATCAAATAATAAATTCAAAAAAAAGGTTATTTAAACTGTTTAAACAAAGTAAAGTGAAGTATTGATAGTACTATTCTATCTGATCATTCATGGAGCCATGATTTTTTATAGTGAGAATGCCATCATAGCAACCGATGGTTAGAGACCGTGAATGACATGGCTCAAAATCGTTTGCGATGGCGCAAATGCATCCACTCTTTGTGTTCTGCCAAATTATAATCTCCGGAATCCTCGTTGTCACTTTTTTTCTCTTTTCAAATTTATTTCACTGGATTATACTCCTTGAATAACATCTTCAAACACTAATCTTTCCGATTACTGCTCATACTCTTACAGCCTCTACCACTATGTGGTTCGAGTCGACAACTGCATCTCTATGCCAATGCGGTGTGGCAACTCAAACCGATGTACGTACGTACGATGTTCTACGTTGTTACTGACTGACTGACATCATTAGACTTAATAAAACGGTTTTCATAGCTTCGATATCACATGAATATTTATCATAGAACCTGATGTAACAACTTGTTTACAATGGTTCTGCTTCTTTTGTCGACTAAATAGTAGTTAATTAAAATTTAAAAAACTCGAATTGCTTCTTTGTCATATGATATAACGATAATAAATGTAATTTTAATATATAAGGACTTTCGTCTAGATTTGATCGAATAGTTTCACAGTATTTGGTCGCCGAGTTAACGTGAGACATTGAAGAGAGAGAAGAATATGTACTTATAAAATCTCAGCCAATGAATTTTAAGTAAATTCAACGTTTTGCCTGGCAATCTTATCCAAGATGTTTTTCAAGGAAATATAATTAAACATACATTCTCCCCCTTTAATATCTAACATAATAATGTCTTTGTAAGCAATGATGGATAGTGGCTAGCAGTGGGATTTAGGACGAGTGTTTCGTCCTATTTGGGACTCGTCAGCTGGACATACCTGCATCTGAGTTGATGTTCACTCTGGGACTCGAACCCAGTACCATTCACTTCAAACGCCATGGCGTTATCCACTCAGCTACTGGGAAGATACAAGCCAAGCAATACCAAGTGAATAATAATGTCTTGTTTCGTATTTTATATTATGAATTTGAGCATGTTTGAACAGTAGAAGATGACTGATTGTTTTATATTTTGATGTCTTTTCATTCAGGAATTTGTTCTGCAGGTTCAATCTCATAAATAATTATCATTGACTTCTCTTCTGTGTTCTTCTTTATCAACTGTTGATCAATAGTTTGTTAACCTTTTAAAAAGAGTTTATCACCAAAAATTTCATAATTATAATTTTGTATTAGGATAAAATACTAACAGGAGCATTCGGGTGAACTATGAAATTTCCTGATTGTTTCTAATTATTTGCTTGTTTTGAGAATAAAACAAAAGTAATTTATTACGTAATGATAGAAACCACATTTTTAAGGTAATTTTATATCTATACTTAAATTTGAAAAACAATAGTTTTTCCACTATTAGGATTAATAGTTAAGTTAGTTATTATCAGTATGGGATTGTGAAAACTGTCAAGTTTTTGATTAAGATCATGAACCGATTGATGTTACACCACCATTGAAAACCTGTGAGCTTACTAGTGACTTGGGGTTAAGCCTTGGGTTCGAATCCTACGAAAGGGATCGTGGATGAGCATTGCTGAGGATTCCCACAATAGGACGAAACGACCTTCCGGTGCTCCCATATTTTCAATCGGTTCACGATCTCAATCAAATATCTATTTACTCTGAAGAAGTCACTTAGATTAAGTCACGAAACGCCAAAAATACAATTTTCTACTCATCACAAACAATCTATTTCTTATTACCGAATCTAAGTTCTGTATTTTGATGACATTATGTTTGTTTTTTTTAATCTGATTGTATTCATTTTATTAATTATTATTATTATTGGTAATGTTCTTGTTTATGGAATATTTCAGTTCTGTAACACATGAACCGGATAGTTTCATCTATTTTTACGTGGAGAAGTATGCTGTACTACTTTATAAATCAGGATAGAGCTTCACTATGTTTAACTCACTTATCAACTTAATAACAATGTAACTTATGTGAAGAAATAATGTTTGACTTATAAATTGTAGTCAACTTTTGTGTTAAAATGTTAATTTCTATTATTATTATTATTATTATTATTCTTATTTATATAATGAAACTGTTAATATAATAGTTATACTGTCAGTATGCTCATTATATTTCATCACTTTCGTAAAACCTTAACTTTATTATAGAAAAACACAACTCATACAAAAAGTCTACTTAACGTGTAGTAATAAGGAAGGATAGTTCTATGTGTATTACATAGTACTTGTTATCGTCTACAACTAGATAGAAAAGAAAAACAATGTTTTAGTACGTAGCGAAGATATGAATTATACCATATTTTGTAAATAGACGAAATTGTAATAATTTTATTACCCATCTAACATATTTCAGTTCATTGAAATGACGTTATCTTCTAACTGTACATTATCTTATTACCATACATTGTTCAAGGGATGGTTTACATATACTTTTGATACGAAGAACTATGTAGTTATTTGATAGCGAATATTTATTGCATGTGATTAGGATTTTGAAAATCTTTTGTTCTATGGATTTAGTGGTTTCATTGCCTTTATAGACAGCATCATTTGTACATAATTTAAAAAGCAGTTAGTTCTTAAGATTTATCCACAGTTAACTAATAGTTTGTTCTAATGACCTGGAATTTGATTTATTGTTATTCACGTGTTTTCTTTATTTATCATCCCTCTGTTATATCTAGATTTTATATTCTTAATATACCGCGTATAACTTGAGCACTCGAACGTTAGAAGACAGAAGACCGGAGTAAGTGTTTGTTGGGCAGGAATCAAAATGTACACAAAATCATAGGTATTTATAGACATTAGCGTTTGTTAAATCAACATTATAATCCGATTAATCTGCGCAAAGGTCAGCAGTAGCATGACAAATTGAGTTTTTCGAAAGATCCTTGATAGTTCGCCGACCAATCCCATTTTGTATTCTTCTCTATCAGGTGGTTTAGCTGAGCATTCAGATGATAGAAATTACGGAGGAACGTACCATAATGACTGATCAATCCCAAGGAAGACCGTAGGGTAGAGATATCCCTAGTTCAGGCATAGTTTTCAGAGCTTTGATTTTCTTTAAATCTGGTTGTTTTCCATCGTTATGTATTATGAAACCGAAATATCGTGCCTGCTGCATATAAAGGTCACACTTTTCCACGCTGAGGCGAAGACCATATTCGGCCATACTTTCTAGCACCTGATCCTGTTTTTTCTGGAAGCCTATTTTGTCTGCTCCCATAATTATGATATCGTCTAAATAAGCTACCGCTCCTGAAATACCTTGTAACATGTTATCCATAATTTACTGGAAAATAGATGGCGCCGTCTTCACTCCAAAAGGTAGTTGATTACGTCGGAACAAACTCTTATGCATGTTGATCGTTAAGAGATATTTAGTTTCATCAGACACAGGGATTTGTAAATATGCGTCTGATAAATCTAATTTCGTAAAATGCCTGCCGTCGTTCAGTTTAGCGAAGAGATCTTGCTGGAGGGGTAAAGGATACTGATCAGACTCTAAAGCTTCATTTAGTCCGATGAAGTAATTTGCACACAAGTGAACGTTTTCATTAGACTTCGTAACCGCCACTATTGCTGCAGCTCAATTTGAGAAGTTTACAGGTTCAAGAACACCCATTTTCACTACTTATGTATAAAATAAACTTTCCGGCCATTCTAGGTGTCATTACCAAGGTTTGATTTGATAATTTCGAATAAATTGAGCATTGGGTTGATTGTTATAAATAAAAATAATATATTTGTAATATCCCAATGAGTAGAAAATTGGATTTTCCGACGTTTCGTGACTTAGTGTAAGTCACTTCTTCAGAGAACAAATAACCAAATTCCGGCCATTCATTACCTGTACTTATAAGCTTCTAGAATACGAATCTGGAACTGTTCGTAAAGTTTCTTCATGACGCTCTGCCAAAGCTTCAATTTGGTCAAAGGTAAATGACATTTTGATAGGTTACCCCCGTGGCCAGTTTTTATATCATAATCTTATATTCTTAATATACCGCATATAACTTGAGTACTCGAACGTTAGAAGACAGAAGACCGGAGTAAGTGTTTGTTGGGCAGGAATTAAAATGTACAGAAAATCATAGGTATTTATAGATATTATCGTTTGTTAAATCAACATTATAATTCAACTAATCTGCGAACAGGCATATTATACTACTGGTCAATAGCAGCGTCCCGCGTTGATATTCTAGAAAGCTTCACCATGTTCTGATTGAATGGAACTCTTTGGCTGATCTAGGACCTCTGATGACTCTGTTGTAGTTCTTGAAAACTGTCCCAACACCTTCCAGACTTGATCTCTGATTTTAAAATTCTTCATACTTTTTTCTTATTGATTGATTGCCATATGACTCTTGTTTCAGTTATAAGTACAGTGCCAACTTCCAGAAACAAAGAACATTTAAATTTACCACAACTTTGCTCATTCATCTTATATGCGAAATGCCTGATGATTTCTTCAAATGCCGATATCTATCATCTATCAATGTTTATTAAAAACCTTCAAAGCATTATTTAAACAATGTATATACATAATCAAATACATAATAACATTACGGAGGGGACTAATTTTTAAATGTTTATTGAATAATAAGTCTAGTTTTTGTTGTTAATTTGAAAAAGAAACACTATCAACTACATGGTAACATGCGTAAATTTATCATTCTAAAATACGACACTTTTATTATGGAATGTAAATTGATCGATAATCAATAGAAAAGAAAAAGGGTATATATAATCAACTTGTTTTTAAAATTTTCTTTACACATGTGATCAAAACAAAAAAAAGAATGTAAATGTTTTCCAGAAAACAAAATAATAATAATCATCATCATACGTGTGGTACTATTGACTAGTATCATGATACAATGGTAATATTGAAATCATTTAATCAGTATAGAATATGTGATCAACTCAATGTAATAGTGAGTCATTGTATCGTTGAAATGATTGATTTCATAAAAGAACAAACAATGTCTAACAATACAAAACTTTGAAAAATAATCAAAACGGATAGAAAATAGTACAAATAATAGACAACTTTTATGCTAACTGATTGTAATTTAGAACAACATATATATTAGTGAACAATATTGTTTTCGATTAGATTCTCATCAAGCTTTACTCTAATATATGGCTGTTTCGTCCTAATGTAGGACTCCTCAGCAGCGCGCATCCACGATCTTGCATCGGGAGATTCTAAACCAGGTCCTATCAGACTCGAGCTCGAACGCTTAACCATTAGACCACTGAGTCGGCATCTAATATACAGTAATATTTATATGCATATACGAAATTATTAAACCGATAAAAGTAGTTTATGAGACAATGATAACAATGGAATAGATTACGTAAATAAACATTGGTAGTGTAATGAAAGGTGTACTAGTTTTGATAACAATAATAAAAGCTTAAAACAATGTTACATAATCGGAAATAGGTCAACGATTTTAAAAAAATATAGATATTGTAATAACATTCATACAAAGTGTTAGCGGAAAATAGACTGGATTAAAGCATACTCAATGCACAATTGCCTTGGTGAACACTGATTGTCTAATTCTTATCCAATCATCACTAGTCAATAGTTGGATAATACTCTAAAATCTCATGTAAAAACTATAAATATACTAACGTTTTTTCTATTGTGCTTCTCACTTGCTTCTTACTTCCATCTAACCTTGTTATTTGGAATATAATCTCTTTCCTGTTCAACCGTGTTCTGATTTGAGGATTTGTCGCGTGAATCGGTGTCCGAGAATACTAAGCAATAGGAATAGCTGGGCCATAACCGTAAGAAAGAGATTATAACAGAAAGATTAGAAGATTACGTAATTAGGGGTGTTCAGATAATTAGACTATGGAGCGTACATTTGAGAAAGGAAAAGGGTGGGAGGGTGTGAAGAGAAATAAACGAAGAGAGGGTATGGAAAATATTAATAAATAAAATCATTTATTAAGGCCAAGGGAGTTAAAAAAATTTTATGAACACAAAGACTTGGATTGTTGGCTCGAATTTTTATAGCTTCTGCTATGTGTGAGAGATGAGATCGAACACTATAAGGAAAACAAGTAGGAATACAACCTTCATTATTCTTATCAAAACTAGTACACTTGTCATCACAGTATCAATTTGTACTTTTCAATTATTATGTTTATTTACGTAATCTATTCCATTGTTACCATTGACTCGTAAACCACCATGATTGGTTTTACAATTTCGTAGATGTATATAAATATTACTGTATATTAGATGCCAACTCAGTGGTCTAATGGTTAAACGCTCGTGCTCGAGACCGATAGGACCTGATTTCGAATCTCGCGATGCGGGATCGTGGATGCGCAGTGCTGAGGAGTCCTACAATAAGGCAAAACGGCCTTCCAGTGCTTCCAGGTTTTCTTTGGTGGTCTAGCTTCAATATTTTGATGGAATTCTGTATAACATATGAATTATGAAACTATTTTCGTAAGTAAATATATCGAGAAAATGAACAGTTTGTAACTATTAATTAGAGAGAAAAGCAATGATCATTTTATTAAATATGGAATAAATAAATGACAGATTATTGAATGAAATCTATTTCTGTAGCAGATTTGTAGAGGTTTTAGTATTCTCCCGGTTGAAATCAAGACCATTATTAGAAGCTAGATCGACGTTTTATCTTAGTATAGCTTTCATAAGAACTGTACATTTACGATCCCTCACTCAAAAATCAAACACAGTACTATCGGTCTTGTGTACGAACACTTGACTTCTAGACCGTTCGATCCCAACTCAGTGGTCTATAAGTTAAGTGTTCACATGCGAGACTGAAGGTGCTACGTTTGATTCTTGAGTGTGGGATAGTGAATGTCCATTGCTCATACATGTCATAGTAAAACGAAACGGTCACACAGTGC